GGGGTTTCACCATGTTGACCAGGATGGTCTCGATCTGTTGACCTCGTGATCCACCCGCCTCGGCCTCCCAAAGTGCTGGGATTATAGGCTTGAGCCACCACGCCTGGCCCGGTATCTGTTTTTAATTGATGTACTATGGTTGGTGATGTGTCTGCCTCCTGCTTTGATAAGACTGAGGCATCCTTGTGACAGGGACAAGTCTTTCTCATCTTTGAGACCTGAGTGCCTGGCATCTTATGAGCCTTCAGACAGTGTTTGCCAGATGAACAAACCAGTAGATGCTTTGGTAGAAAGTGCTTAGAGATTTTGCCTTTTTCGTTAGGGGGTGGTGGGCAGCCTTAAAATGTGTACAATAAACAAATGTCTTAAAGGGAATCTTTTTTTTTTTTTCAATGGAGACTCACCTGTCGCCTGGGCTGGAGTGCAATGGCGCAATGTTGGCTCGTTGCAACCTCTGCCGCCTGGGTTCAAATGATTCTCCTGCCTCAGTTTCCTGAGTAGCTGGGACTACAGGTGCCCAACACCATGCCCGGCTAGTTTTTTTTTTGAGACGGAGCGTTGCACTGTTGCCAGGCTGGAGTGCAGTGGTGTGATCTCGGCTCACTGCAACCTCCACCTCCTGGGTTCAAGCAATTCTCTTGCCTCTGCCTCCAGAGTAGCTGGGACTACAGGCGTGTGCCACCACGCCCAGCTAATTTTTTTTTGTATTTTTAGTAGAGATGGGGTTTCACCACGTTGGCCAGGCTGGTCTCTAACTCCTGACCTCAGGTGATCCGCCCACCTCGACCTCCTGAAGTGCTGAGATTACAGGCATAAGCCACCCTACCTGGCCTGGGAATCATTTTTATAGGAAGCTCTTTTTATAATTTTCTAAGTCACATGCTTTTCTCAGTCTACTGTTGCAGTGCTGTTTTATTTCTGTTTCTAAACTAGGACTGGCTTTATACAGTTGTGGTAAATAGCATTTTTGCAACTTGACATCTGCAAAGAAACTAAGAGAATATTCTCATGTTTCATTCTAATATTAACAGGCTATATACTGAAAATACGTTTTTGAAAAATGTGGTATTTCTGCTTCTCTTTGTAAATCTATGACATTTCCAATTGATTCAGCATTTTTCATCAGGCAGGATCCAGTGACACTTTCACCTGGCTGGAAGAGAGACTGAAGCTCTCCAGAGCTCTGGTGAGTCACTCCTAACATTGGATTCGTGGAGTAGCCTGGAATGTTTCATCGTTTTATAAATGTACAGATCCTTACAGGGCCAGGCGAGGTAACTCATGCCTGCAATCCCAGCACTTTGGGGAGGCTGAGGAGGGAGGATCACATGAGATCAGGAGTTTGAGACCAGCCTGGCCAACAGGGGAAGTAAAGTTCCTCTTCAAAGTTTCCTTTCTTGTTAAAGAATAAATTTGCTAATAACTCTTTGTTAAGCCCTATCCTATGTAGCTGTTAGACATGCCATGCTTACAGGCATGTAGTATATTCTATGTCCTTATACTTTAACCAAAATATCTGTGCTGGACATGCTCACAGGCATGTCCCAGCTCACAGCCTATGCCCCTTACCTGTTTAAAAAAGTTTTAAGTTATTAGCCAATCAAGTTTTAGTTTAGATTGTGAGATCTGGCTCCAACCAACGGAGATCATACACAGCAGTAAGAAAAACCCCAAATGCGTAAGGGATAAATATATCTGCTTTTCCACTGTTCATTGTACTCTCATGGCAAGATGGCTAGCGAGGGTACCCTTCCTGCAGTGCAGGAAATAAAAGTTGCTTTGCTGAGAGATCCTTTGTCTCAGTGCTGATTTTTCTCTGTGGCACCGAGCATCTTTTCCAACAATGGTGAAACCCTGTCTCTACTAAAAATAAAAAATTAGCTGGGTGTGGTGGTACATGCCTGTAATCTCAGATACTTGGGGAGGCTGAGGCAGGAGAATCTCTTGAACTCAGGAGGCAGTGGTTGCAATGAGCCGAGATCATGCCACTGCACTCCACCCTCAGTGACAGAGTGACACTCCATCTCAAAACAAGACAACAACAACAACAGCAATAAAAACTCCTCTAGTAGAAGACAAAAATTTGGAAGAGACACAAAAGTAAAAAGGAAGAAAAAATATCACTATAGATACGCTACTTAAATACAACCACTATTAGCATTTTGATCCATTTCCTTTTAGCCTTTTTTTTTTTTTAACATAGTTGAGATCTTACTGTTTCTATAGTTTTGTATCCTACTTTTTCTTTTTTTTTTTTTTTTTTGAGACGGAGTTTCGCTTTTGTTACCCAGGATGGAGTGCAATGGCCCGATCTTGGCTCACCGCAACCTCCGCCTCCTGGGTTCAGGCAATTCTCCTGCCTCAGCCTCCTGAGTAGCTGGGATTACAGGCACGCGCCACCATGCCCAGCTAATTTTTTGTATTTTTAGTAGAGATGGGGTTTCACCATGTTGACCAGGATGGTCTGGATCTCTTGACCTCGTGATCCACCCACCTCGGCCTCCCAAAGTGCTGGGATTACAGGCTTGAGCCACCGCGCCCGCCAACTTTTTCATTTAATTTTATGACAAATATTTTTCCATGTTATAAGCTCTTCATAAACATTAGGATAGTCTCTTTTGTAATTAATATTTGGCATATTTTTTGGCATCTTTAGTTCTTTATCCTAATCTTTGCACACAAGTCCTGTGTTCTAAAATCAGAGTGATGGCTGGTGTAGTGGCTCAGCCCTGTAATCCCAGTACTTTGGGAGGTCCATGTGAGAGGAACACTTGAGCTCAGGAGTTCAAGACCAGCCTGGGCAATATAGAGTAACCCTGTCTCTGCAAAATACTTTTAAAAAATTAGCCAGGCATGGTGGCATGTGCCTGTAGTTCCAGCTACTTGGGAGGCTGAGGCAGGAGGGTCACTTGAGCTTGAGAGTTTGAGGCTGCAGTGAGCCCTGATTGTGCCACTGCACTCCAGCCTTGGTAACAGAGCAAGATACTGTCTCAAATAAATAAAAGAGCAAAGTGAAGTAAACAAACACTCCACAGTTTTCCACAACCCTTTTAAATTTCACCAATTTTAGCCCCTTCTTTCCGTTTCTTTTTCTTTTTTCTTTTTCTTTTTTTAAAGACGGGGTTTCACCATGTTGGTCAGGCTGGTCTTGAACTCCCGACCTCAGGTGATCCACCCGCCTTGGCCTCCAAAGTGCTTGGATTACAGGCGTGAGCCACCGCGCCCAGCCAGCCCTTTCTTTTCTTTTCTTTTCTTTCTTTCTTTTCTTTTCTTTTCTTTTTTTTTTTTTAGACATAGTTTCGCCACTTGTTGCTTAGGCTAGAATGCAATGGCACAATCTTGGCTCACTGAAACCCTTACCTCCCGGGTTCAAGCGATTCTCCTGTCTCAGCCTCCCAAGTATCTGTGATAACAGGTGCCCACCACCGTGCCTGGCTAATTTTTGTATTTTTAGTAGAGACAGGGTTTCACCATGTTGGTCAGGCTGGTCTCAAACTACTAACCTCAAGTGATCCATTCGCCTTGGCCTTCCAAAGTGTTGGGATTACAGGCTTAAGCCACTGTGCTCAGCCTAGTCCCTTCTTTCAACATTTTAACAAACGAATTGGCTTTTTTTGGAAGTATGTTGTGCTCATTTAGTGACACATCTGTAAATATAATTTTTTTATTAAAATGTTAGGCAGAGGTGCTCACTTAGGCAGCACATATACTAAAATTGGAACGATACAGAGAAGATTAACATGGCCCCTGCGCAAGGATGACACGCAAATTCTTGAAGCGTTACGTTATAATTAAAAAAAAGAAAAAACAACAACAACAACAACAAAACAACAAAATATATATATATGAAAAATAAAATAAAATGTTAGGCAGAGAAGAAGAACCACACTGTTCCACAGGAAAGTAGAACCATAGAGAGTTTCACAGTTCACAGGGAAGAAGAACCACAGTTTCACGTGCTGGAGGAGAAGGCAGCTGTGTGAGTTCCACAATGGGTCACGGTGGGGGACTTAAGGCAACGTGTTAGTCCTAGAGTAGTTCCATGATGAGTTTATTTTCTTTAACCTGTCTTTGTGTCAAAATGAGATTACATGTTCATTTTAAAACATGATGTTTGAATACTGTGTTTTTATCTTTTTTTTTTTTTTTAAAGACAGAGTTTCAGGCCGGGCGCGGTGGCTCAAGCCTGTAATCCCAGCACTTTGGGAGGCCGAGGCGGGTGGATCACGAGGTCAAGAGATCGAGACCATCCTGGTCAACATGGTGAAACCCCGTCTCTACTAAAAATACAAAAATTAGCTGGGTGTGGTGGTGCGTGCCTGTAATCCCAGCTACTTGGGAGGCTGAGGCAGGAGAATTGCCTGAACCCAGGAGGTGGAGGTTGCGGTGAGCCGAGATCGCGCCATTGCACTCCAGCCGGGGTAACAAGAGCGAAACTCCGTCTCAAAAAAAAAAAAAAAAAAAAAAAAAAAAGACAGAGTTTCACTCTTTTGGCCAGGCCAGAGTACAGTGGCGCGCTCTCGGCCCGCTACAACTTCAGCCTCCCTAGTTCAAGCGATTCTCCTGCCTCAGCCTCCCGAGTCGCTGGGACTACAGGCGCGTGCCACCACGCCCAGCTATTTTTTATTTTTAGTAGAGAGGGGGTTTCACTACGTTAGCCAGTATGGTCTCGATCTCCTGACCTCGTGATCCGCCCATCTCGGCTTTCCAAAGTGCTGAGATTACAGGCGTGAGCCACCCGCGCCCAGCCTGAATACTGTTTTTGGCATTGTCCAAGGAAGACTGAAAACTGGTAGCTTGAATACTGTATGTTTTTCACATGAAATCTTGTGACTGTATTAAATTGTATTACTCGTAAGAGACTGTGAAGTTTTCTATTTTAAGATAGAATACAAAGCTGTTCTTTAATACATTAAATGGTGCTGAGGAAAGGAACCTCAAAAAAGGAAAGAAAAAATTGGTTTGGCGGCTCCGCCCTTGAAAGGGATCAGCTGAACCCGGGTCATGTGACCCTCCCGCGTCGCTTCCGTCGGCTGGATCGCGGCCGTATGCGCGGCTCTGCGGAGCGCGGCTGGGGTTGGGGGCGCTGTGCCCCCAGCCCCCTGCTCCTTTTGACTCTACTTCTGTTTGCAGCCCCATTTGGCCTGCTCGGGGAGGAGACCCGCCAGGTGAGGGCCCTGGGGCTACAGCGATAGAAGTTTCAGGAAATGTTACCCTTGCCGGGTGGCTGGAACCAGACATCCAGGGGCTAGGAGTGGAGGGCGGCTCAAGAGGAGGGCTCTTCAACCTGGAGGGTGTGGGAGACGGTCTTGGGTCATGGGACGCGACTGTGGAGTAGGGTGAATGTGAGGGTGAAGTCTGGACCCTGACTCAGCCCTGGGTGACCCAGGTCCAGCCAAGTGTTGAATGTTTTCTTCTTCCCAGCCTTGTGCTCTGACCTGCCCACCAGGGTCAGGGGAGTCCTGGTTGTACACCTACCCCTTTTCATCCTGTACCCACTGCCCCTTACCCCAGGATTCCCTTAGCTCCCGCACGCATTCCTCTTGTTTAGTCCCCAAGGTCCCATCCTTTCTCCAGCATTTTCCAAGCCCCCCTCCCCGACGAGGTTCTCTTTTGCCTGTGTCTCTCCTTGATGCTGTTGCCTCAGTCCTCCGCTACTCCACGTTCCAGGTGTCTCTGGAGGTCGTCCCCAACTCGCTGGGCCCCCCGCAGAACCTGCTTCATATCCGGGCAGTGGGCACCAACTCCACGCTGCACTATGTCTGGAGCAGCCTGGGGCCTCTGGCGGTGGTGCTGGTGGCCACCAACACCCCCCACAGCACCCTGAGCGTCAACTGGAGCCACCTGCTATCCCCTGAGCCCGATGGAGGCCTGATGGTGCTCCCCAAGGACAGCATTCAGTTTTCTTCTGCCCTTGTTTTTACCAGGGTGAGGAGGGTGGGGGAGAACCAAAAGTGCAGAGGGGAGAGTTCATCCCAATTAGAGCGTGGAAGTGAAGGCTGGAGCGGGGTGGAATAGATGCGAAAGCCTGGCTGCGGGGCGAGTGGGAGGGGGGACTCAGGAGAAACATGGAGGCGAGCCCAGTTCCACCCCACCCCCACCCTCCAGCTGCTTGAGTTTGACAGCACCAACGTGTCCGATACCGCAGCAGAGCCTCCAGGAAGACCATATCCTCCATACTCCTTGGCCGATTTCTCTTGGAACAACATCACTGATTCATTGGATCCTGCCACCCTGAGTGCCACATTTCAAGGCCACCCCATGAACGACCCTACCAGGACTTTTGCCAATGGCAGCCTGGCCTTCAGGGTAAGGGGTGGGAAATCAGAAAGAACTCAAAAAGGCTGATTTGTTGCGAAGGTGGGATTTAACGATGGAAGTGGGATTTAACGATGGAGGTGGCCTTTAAGCCTCAGCATCCGGCTGTTTCCCACACCTCCCGTGCATCTTCCCTCCTAGGTCCAGGCCTTTTCCAGATCCAGCCGACCAGCCCAACCCCCTCGCCTCCTGCACACAGCGGACACCTGTCAGCTAGAGGTGGCCCTGGTTGGCGCCTCTCCCCGGGGAAACCGTTCCCTGTTTGGGCTGGAGGTAGCCACGTTGGGCCAGGGCCCTGACTGCCCCTCAATGCAGGAGCAGCACTCCATCGACGATGAATATGCACCTGCTGTCTTCCAGGTCAGGCTTCCTGGAGAGTGGCAGATGGGTGAGGAATGTAGGTGGGACACCACTGGGACCTAAAAGTCATTCAACCATTTGACATTTAGCAACACCTTTTTTGGCTCATTTAAGTGCTAGGCATTGGGCTAATGAATCTGACCCAGTCTCTGCCCTCAGTGGAGACAGACAGAGAGGCAGTGCAGTATGACTCACACGCTGACAGGTGGAGATCTGCACGGGGCCTGGGGGCCAAGCGGAGGGACTGAGCCCAGACTTGCAGGCTTGGAAAACAACTCAGTACTCATCCAGTCTAACTCCGTTTTTTTTGTTTGTTTTTTGAGACGGAGTTTCACTCTTGTGCCCAGGCTGGGGTGCAATGGTGTGATCTTGGCTCACTGCAACCTCCACCTCCTGGGTTCAAGTGATTCTCCTGCCTCAGCTTCCCGAGTAGCTGGGATTACAGGCGTGCGCCACCACGCCCAGCTAATTTTGTATTTTTGGTAGAGATGAGGTTTCTCCATGTTGGTCAGGCTGGTCTCGAACTCCGTGACCTCAGGTGATCTGCCTGCCTTGGCCTCCCAAAGTGCTGGGATTACAGGGGTGAGGCACTACGCCCAGCCCAACTCCCCATTTTTACAGAGGAGGGATTGAGGCCCTGCCTAGGACTCAGGACTCCTGCTACTAGTGATGGAAAAGGCTGGGAGAGGCAGGGAAGGGAGGATTGGGCACAGGTTGGTCCTTTTTACCCTCCCTTTTTATTTTTATTTTATTATTTATTTATTTATTTTAAAGCCACCACGAAACGCCACCAACCCTCCCTTGTTTGCCTTTCTTCCCAGTTGGACCAGCTGCTATGGGGCTCCCTCCCATCAGGCTTCGCACAGTGGCGACCAGTGGCTTACTCCCAGAAGCAGGGGGACCGAGCATCAGCCCTGCCCTGCCACACTTCCCCTCTGCATCCTGCCTTGGCATACACTCTCCCCCAGTCACCCATTGTCCGAGCCTTCTTCGGGTCCCAGAATAACTTCTGTGCCTTCAATCTGACGTTTGGTGCCTCCACAGGCCCTGGCTACTGGGACCAACACTACCTCAGCTGGTAAGAGCCAGGGCCTGGGCCAGAGGCTTGGGGAGTTGACGTGGACAAAGGCTGAGCCTCCCAGCTTTTCCTCCTAAGCCGTCTTACTCCTGTCTCTCTCTCTGCTTGCTCTAGGTCAGCGCTCCTGGGTGTGGGCTTCCCTCCAGTGGATGGCTTGTCCCCATTAGTCCTGGGCATCATGGCGGTGGCCCTGGGTGCCCCAGGGCTCATGCTACTGGGGGGCGGCCTGGTTCTGCTGCTGCGCCACAAGAAGTACTCAGAGTACCAGTCCATAAATTGAGACCTGCACTCTGGAGGGAAGGACATTACTGGACCTGTCTTGCTGTGCCTCAAAACTCTGGAGGTTGGAGGGTCAAGTTCCAGCCAGCCCCTTCACTCCCCTGTCTTGCTTTTCTGTGGAACCTCAGAGGGCAGCCTCAACTTCCTGGAGACCCCCAGCTGGGGCTTCCTTCATACCTTGGGGAGGGGACTTTGGAAGTGGGTAGGGGACAGGGTTATTGATAAAGGAAAGGTCCCTTTGGTGTTGCCTTCTTGCCTCTCCACACATTTCCCTTGGATGTGACTTGCAGGCCTAAATGAGAGGCATTCTGACTGACTGGCTGCCCTGGAAGGCAAGAAAATAGATTTATTTTTTTTTCACAGGGCTCCAGTCTCTTGATGTGTGAGTGTCGTTGGGCTGGTCTGGGGTTGGTTCCAGGGAATGCAAGGGCTAAGAGATGGGCTTGGAAGGCAAGTTTCTGTTTGAGGCTCTATTTCCTCACCATGGAACCCTACTCCACCAGGTAGAGATGAGAGGTTTCTTTTTTTCTTTTTTTTTTGAGATGGAATCTCACTCTATTGCCCAGAGTGGAGTGCAGCGGCGCCATCTCGGCTCACTGCAACCTCTGCCTCCTGGGCTCAAGAGATTCTCCTGCCTCAGCCTCCCGAGTAGCTGGGATTACAGGCACCTGACACTGCACCTATTTTTTTTTTTTTTTGAGACAGTCTTGCTCTGTTGCCCAGGTGGGAGTGCAGTGGCACGACCTTGGATCACCACGGCTCACCACAACCTCCACCTCCTGGGTTCAAGCAATTCTCCTGCCTCAGCTTCCCGAGTAGCTGATACTACAGGTGCCTGCCACCACACCCAAATAATTTTTTTATTTTTAGTAGAGACGGGGTTTCACTATGTTGTCCAGGCTGGTCTCGAACTCCTGACTTCATGATCTGCCCGTCTTGGCCTCCCAAAGTGCTGGGATAACAGGCATGAGCCACCATACCTGGCTGAGCTGGGAGGTTTCCATTGTCATCTGAATTAAACAGGGAAGGGACACTTGAGACTGGGGGACAAACAGGAAGAAAGCCAACAAAGACTGGTAGTTTATTGTTACACACACACCAGATTAACATCAGCCACTGTGCCATCCAGCCACTCCCCAGCACCACGTGTGGGCACAAACACACCACACCCCTCTTGGGAGGCAGATTTCTCTGTCTGCTCCCCTCTTCCCGTGGGAGGGGCATGGCTTCTGGGCAGTTTAAAGGTGGGAAGTTACAGGGGCCTAAATAGGTAGAAGAGCAGCAGCTCTGGACTGCCCAGCTGTAAGTAGCCTTGACTGAGGCTAAAGGGCCCCAAGGCCAGTCATGGAGTGTCCTGAATCCAGATCCCCAGGAAGGTTTTCACCAAACATGAAAGTCCCATTTGATGTGATGCCCAGCCTCTATCCTTAGGCGTTTCCAGAGTCCTTGAGGCGCTCTGCTTAGACAGCTGGCACAGAAGTGGTCAGGGCTTTGGCTGTGGCTCTGCCCGCTGCCTCATGGGAAGCCGGGGAGTTAAGCAGAGTCCAGCATTAGGGAGCCCTTGTAGCAGTGGTGGGACTCTGCTTAGGAAGGAGATGTGTCTTTCCCCTGGTCCTGGCCCCATGCCCTCAGCATCCTTAAGAAATATGGCTGTTGGCTGCGCACAGTGGCTCACGCCTGTAATCCCAAAACTTTGGGAGGCCGAGGTGGGTGGATCACGAGGTCAAGAGATCGAGACCATCCTGGTCAACATGGTGAAACCCCGTCTCTACTAAAAATACAAAAAATTAGCTGGGCATGGTGGTGCGTGCCTGTAATCCCAGCTACTCAGGAGGCTGAGGCAGGAGAATTGCCTGAACCCAGGAGGCGGAGGTCAAGCCATTGTACTCCAGGCTGGGTAACAAGAGCGAAACTCTGTCTGGGAAAAGAAAAAAAAAAAAAAAGAAATACGGCTGTCCACCTTTTTCCCTGCAAGAAAACTAAGTCCATCCGTTATGACTGTCCCGGGCCCCAAAGGTGAAGGGCAGCCCCGGCAAGGGGAGAACTGATTGATTGGATCCCTGTCGGGGCAGTAGCAGGTTCCACCCACCGCAGTCCCAGGCCTGGGGGCGATGTTCAGGCTTAGCTGGTTCAAAGATGTCAGACCCACGTCCCTACCCCGAGGGCGAGAGGGCGGAACTGCTCAGCCCCAGGGGCGGGGCCTGTAGTCCGAGGCCGAGCGGGCGTGGTCCGGGTAGTCCAGGCGGCTCTCGGTGGCAGTGAGCATGCGCTCCGGCTCTACCACGAACATGTAGTAGAGGTTCCACACCAGCATCGACAGCAGCGGCAGAAACGTCAGGCCGTAGCCGAAGCCTCGGAAGGAGCGGCCCACGGCGAAGGTCAGCCAGTAGATCAGCCTGTGGGGGCAAGAAAAGGGTCAGCCTACTCTGGAGGGAAGCTCGCCAGCCGACTGGCAATGAGCTGACGGTGTGGGGAATAGACCCGGCAGGCAGATGCAGTTGGTGGGTATGGCTGGTACTTCAAATACAGCCACAGTTTATGCATTTAATATTTATTAGGCACAGCGCTAATTAAGTGATTGATTTTGACTTCCCCACGTTTATGAAGTTGAGTACATTATTCCTTCTCTTTTATTTTCCATTTATATATTTTTTTTTTCAGAGAAATGATCTTGATTTGTTGTCCAGTTTGGACTCAAACTTCTGGCCTTGGGGGGTTCTCTCACCTCAGACTCCTGAGGAGCTGGGATTACAGATGCGAGCCACCACACCTGGCTGTACAAAGTTTAAAATGTTTGAGCAAATTCAATGAGTATAGTAAAATATCTTCCTCCCTTTACTATTGCCTCCTATTCTCCCCCAACCCCACCCCAGGCATCAATATTATGGTTTCTTGTCCACTGAGTGATTTTTCATTATTATTTATTATTATTATTTTATTAGAGACAGGGTCTTACTCTGTCAACCAGGCTGGAGTGCAGTCACAGCCCCCAACTCCTGGGCTCAAGCAGTCCTCCCACCTCAGCCTCCCAAGTAGCAGGGACTACAGGTACATGCCACCATGCCCAGCTGATTTTTTTTTTTTTTTTTAGACGAAGTTTCACTCTTGTTGCCCAGGCTGAAGTTCAATGGTGAGATCTCAACTCACTGCAACCTCCACCTCCTGGGTTCAAGCAATTCTCCTGCCTCAGCCTCCCGAGTAGCTGGGATTACAGGTGTGCACCCACCACACCCTACTAATTCTGTATTTTTAGTAGAGATGGGGTTTCACCATGTTGGTCAGGCGGCTGATCTTGAACTCCCGACCTCAAGTGATCACCTTGCCCTCCCAAAGTGCTGAGATTACAGGTGTGAGCCACCATGCCCAGCAGATTTTTTCTTTTCTTTTTTTTTTTTTTCTTAAAGACCAGTGTGCTTTTCTTGGAGAAATAAGAAGAAGAAGAAAAAATACCAGTGCAATAGTACACTGAGTGATTTTTTTTTTTAAGTGCATATATGAGCAAAAAGTTTTTTCCCTTTTTTGAAGTAGGTCAGTATACTACATAGACTGTTCTCTGCATGTTTATTTTTTCCCATTTAATATATCCTGGAGATATTTTATATCAATATAAAAACAGTTTCCTCATTATTTTATAGCTGCAGTGTGTTCCACTGTATTTATTTATCCTTTTGCAGATGAAGAAACTAAGGTTCCAAAGGAGTTAAGTAAAACTGGTCCAAGATCACACATCTGGGAAATAGTAAAGCCGTGATTTGAACCCAAACCTGTTCATTACCTCCTCTTCTGCCACTTTAGAGGGGCAGAGGGAAAGAGGAAAGCAAAGAAGCCACCTCCAGGAGGGCTTGAAGCCCAGAGGATGGGTAAGCCACAAATTTCTTGGAAGAAATTTGTTCAATACACACCCCTCAATGGAGAGAGGGGAGAGCAGCTTCCTCTTAATATACGAAGGATCACTTCTTAACGTATGAAGGACCGCTTACTACATAATTCATGTGCCTCTACTCTTTTTTACCCGGGAAAGGGAGGGAAGAGTGAGTAACTGCTGCTTCTCTACTGCACTAGGAAGCAGCACAGCATAATGAACCCTTACCAAGTACCAGACTGTTTTAAGCACTCTACATGAATTAACTCATTTAATCCTCATAACAACCTCATTTTACAGATGGTGAAACTGAGGCACACACTGCTTAAGGAATTTATCCATGGGAAAGAAGAAAGAACCCTGGATAAAAGAGGGAAGGGACCTGGTTTCTAGTCCTGCCACTATTGCGGACTGACCTGAGCAACTCTTCTCCCCTAGTCTGTTGTGATTTCCCTTTTGTAAAATGGGAAGCCTGGACCAGACAATCACTGAATCTTCCTTTAGCTCCCTGATGATTTTTACCGCGTAAGCCAACTTCTATCTGAGACCAGTATTCCCAAAGAGCTGGACATGAGAGGCTGAGTTACATGAGCAGGAACATATTTATTTTGGGAAAACCTATTGGGAGAAAATGCAAGGCTGCATGATGGTCAGGAGGCTGGTGGGACAGCTGACTGATGGACCACAATCAGAAGTGACAGGAAGACTAATTTTAGCTCAATAGGAAGAATATTTTATTTTAGCAAGCTGCCTGGAATCCTGTATCAAAAGTAACAAGAGCAGGCCAGTCATAGTGGCTCATGCCTATAATCCCAGCACTTTGGGAGGGCAAGGCAGGTGGAATATCTGAGGTCAGGAGTTTGAGACCAGCTTGGCCAACATGGTGAAACCCTGTCTCCACTAAAAGTTAAAAAAAAAAAAAAAAAAAAATTAGCTGGATGTGGTGGCTTGCACCTGTAATCCCAGCTACTCGGGGGGGCTGAGGCAGGAAAGTTGCTTGAGCCCAGGAGACAGAGGTTGTAATGAGCCGAGATCATGCCACTGTACTCCAGCCTGGGTGACAGAGTGAGACACTGTCTCAAAGAAAAAAAAAAAGATTATATGTATTAGGGAAAATGGAAAGACCTGCATCTGGGTTCAGAAATTCAAAGGTCCCTTCTAGGTTAACAGTAGTTCATGTGAAGACACCCCTAAGGATTTTAGGTGATGGCAAACTGAATGAAAGGAGAGTCAGAAGGCTGCCAGGAGAGCTCATATGGCCTTGGTTTGTATGAAGAAAAGGACAGTACCCTATACCAGGGCCCTCCCCGCATTGACAAACAGGAAGAGAAAGACTATACCCTCAACCAGGCTCCCCAACCTTGACAGGCAGAAGTTCCTTCCCAGGACAATGAAGAAACCAGGGCCATTTTGCAAAGTAGACACTAGGGGATGAGGGTGTTAGGGGTCGTGGGATTGACAGGTGGTGGTAAATATCTGAATTTGTCCTACGCAGTTCTGGAG